GCTGCGGGGGGGGCCCGGGGGGTCCGGGCCGCCGTGTCCGCGGGGTGCGATGGGGTTTCCTCCCTGCAGGCCCGGGGCCGCGACACCTCCCCACGCTCGGCAGCTCCACCAGACCCCACCCGGGCACACCGACAGGTAACGCCGACGGGGCGGGTTCCTCGGCTGGGCCCTTCCTCCCGGGGGGGAGAAACCAGCTGTTCGCTGCAGCTCTGGCTGCGGGCCCTGACCTTTCCCTCGCTTCGCTGCTTAAAAAAAATCAGCGTGTGAGTCCCGGGGATGAGCCCGGGCACCCTCTGTACTTTGGGCCCAGTGAACCGAGGGGCTCTGCCCAGGCAACAAACTCCACAGACCTCCCCCCCCGGTGGGGGCAAAAACGGTTAAAAAAAAAAAAAAAGAGGCTCGAGCAGTAGCAGAGGGTGTGAGATTGTCCAGAGCAACGTACCGCAGATTCTTGATGGGATCACGGCAGCTTAAGGTTAATGGTTGTGCTCTGCAGTTACACTAAATAATTGGAGACTGATGCTACTGTGCCGTTTGTCTTCAGCTCTGTCCAGGTCCAGCAAAAGAGCTCAGCTGTTGTCCAGAAAAAATCCTACGTCCCCAGTAGCAGGGGAGAATATATCGTCACCAAACTCGATGACCTGATCAACTGGGCCCGAAGGGTGAGTGGCTGTCGCTGTCGTGCTCGGTAGGGAGGAATGGTGTCAGAGGCTTTGAGGTGCTGGGAAATGGATTTGAGCCAACTCCTCCTCAGGATAAAAATAGGCTCAGGATTCCCCGCGGGGAAACAGCCGAGTTTCTCGGCCAGAGGTTGACACTTGGGGTGCTGTGTCAGAGCGGGAGAGACGCTTCGACGTGCCGGCGGCACGGGTGGCCTGTCTGCGCGGAGGTGCCCGTTGGGAACCAGCAAAAGGCACTTTCTGCTTTCCCGTAGCCCTTGTGACGAGCCCAAGTGATGCTGCCCCGAGGCCCGTGGGCTCTGGCCGAGCTGAGTTTTGCCTTCTCTAGTCACCGCTGCCTGGCTGCAGGGCTCCCAGGTGGCTGCTTTGGCAGGGGAGGTGTGCGGGCAGCATCTGCGGCTCTGGGCGTGTTCAGCATCTCTGGGGCTGTGGGTGCAGAGATCTCTGCACATCTGCTTCCCCAGAGCCGTGGGCTTTGCTCTCCTCAGCAGCAGCAAACACTTTTTCCATTGACGATGCTCTGACTAAACAGACCTTGAAACTTTTCTTGTTCTGTTTCCCTTTCTGTCCGATTGACTCCTGCTCTGTGAGTCGCCCCGCAGGGTCTCAGCTCCTGCTCTCGGCCTCTCTCCCGCCGCAGAGCTCCCTGTGGCCGATGACGTTCGGCCTGGCCTGCTGCGCCGTGGAGATGATGCACATGGCGGCTCCTCGCTACGACATGGACCGCTTCGGGGTGGTGTTTCGCGCTAGTCCCCGGCAAGCCGATGTCATGATTGTGGCCGGCACCTTGACGAACAAAATGGCTCCAGCTCTGCGGAAGGTACGAGCTGCGGGCGGTGCCTGCACGGGGCCGCGCGCAGGGGGATGCGGTGGGGCTGCAGCCTCTCTGCTCTGCAGGTCTACGACCAGATGCCGGAGCCTCGCTACGTCGTCTCCATGGGGAGGTGAGTGCTGGGACACCCCCACGGCCTCATGCTCTGTGGGAGAAATCCGGTGTCTCTGCTTGGGCGGGGAGGTGAAGGGAGGGAATCCATTTCTCATTTGTATTTCCAACCCCTTAAATTCTATAGAGGCCTTGTTAGGAATGAAACATAAAGACTCCCTTTGATTAGGGTGAGGAGAACGGTGTCTGTCAAGTCACTGTGAACTGCAAAGTCTTCCCAGAGAAAGATTCTGGGGTTTTTGCAGCTGTCAGACTCTGGGGACTTTATACGTCCAGAATCTCAGAATTTGCATTTAGACAAAAGCGTTCAAAACGCTTCTGCTGCGCAGCGTGAAATCTGAGCTCCGTGGAGCTCTGGCCCGGTGGAACTGACAACTCGTCCATCCCCCGGAGCTGCTGGGGCCGTTTCACCAGGGCCTGGAGGGGCCAGAACAAGTCTGTGCAGGTGTGGCAAAATAAAAGAGTAGAGAGGAAGGACCCTCTGAATACCTGCTGTGTAAGAGCACTGGAAACACTTCTGTTTGCTTTGATTCTGCCTGCGAGCAGAGCCACTGCCTCCCAGCCAGGGCTTGAGGAGAGGCTGAGTGGCCTGGTGTAAATCTCGGCGTCCGCTCCACCCCGTCTTGTAAAAATGTCCAGCAGCTCCGTTGGGCGCCGGGTTCCCCTTTCCCTTTGCTCCCGCCCGTCCGTCCCGCGGGCTCCCAGCCGCCCACTCGAGGCGCTGACGCCCGCCCGTCCCCGGCAGCTGTGCCAACGGCGGCGGCTACTACCACTACTCCTACTCCGTGGTGAGGGGCTGCGACCGCATCGTGCCGGTGGACATCTACGTGCCAGGTAGGAACAGGCTCCGCGTGCCGTGGCGGGGCCGGACTCGGTTTTGGGGTTGTTCCTGATGAACTTTCCCTTTCGGACCGTGGTGCTGCAGCCGCAGGTGCTTGGCCAGGGTCCGCCTGGGTACCAGGTCTGGCAACGTGACCCGCAGAGCCTCTGGTGTAAAGTGGGGGCTGTGGTTTAGTCAAGCCCGCGCTCTCCTGTGAGATACCACCTGGCTTCAAAGCCGAGCGTTTCTACCTGCTATAAAGACCTTTTTGAAAAACACCATCACTTTCATTTCTCTAAACTAAAGCCCTCTTGCTTTTATGAACTCCGCAGCCTGCGACACACACAAAGCCCAAGGGCAGTCGCGGCTGCTTTGGGGTAAAACCCGCGGCTTGTCGGTTCTCCTGCTGCTGGCTACACTTCAGTGCAGCTCACAGCCCCGCGGGCTTCCTTTTTCTCTCTCTCAGGTTGCCCACCTACTGCTGAAGCTTTGCTGTATGGAATCCTGCAGCTTCAGAAGAAAATCAAACGGGAGAAGAAGATTCAGATCTGGTACAGGAAATAGCCTCTTGTTTCTGACCTGCCCACTGACTGCCCCCCCGGGGCACCTGCTTGCATCGAACGCACAAAAAACCTGTATCCTCACAAGCCTTCCAATAAAACCTGACCTGGTTAAGACACTCTTTTGTCTTTAATACATCCCTCTTACCTAAAGCGTTTTAACTCGTTTAAAAACTGAATTAAAAAGCAGGAGTTGAATTTTGGTAACATTCAGTGTGGTGTTTTCTGGTCTGAGTAGCCCGTGAGGGAAGGAGGATGCTTGAAGTTAATCTGTCGTGACGTAAACTTTGCCAGAAAACTGCGACTCGCTCCGGGGCTTTGTTAGGAAGTTCTGAGACCAACACGTGGCCAGGAGAACCCCAAGGCCTCTGAGGTTGTCTCTTACTCACCAGCTGCTTCTTGTTTATAATTCCTACAAAGGATCCAATAAATCCTTTACCTCTGTGCACAGCAGCCAGAAGTTAATTATATAAGTATGAAAGCTTAAAATCAGAATATGATTAATAAAACTGAATGCAGTGTAGGAATAAAGCAGCCCAGGGTAGGTTTTGGTACTGGCTGCATCCCAGGAGCCCCCTGGGGGCTTCTCCCTGCAGCCCGGGATGGAGAACTCACAACAGAATTACACAGGCACTCACACACACACACACACACACTTTTGAAAGACAAATAAACTGCTCTGAAACACCCGCTGTGTGTTTCATTCATTTTTAATGGATTTTATCCCTTCTGGGTAGAGAGAGGAAGCGTCATTTACGTGCTGTCGAGCTGCATGGAGGGCGTCGGGGTCTGAACTTGCTACGATGGGCTTTAGCCAGAGGTATCAGGGAAACCTTGCTGGGGGGTTGATCCAGGAGCAGCCAAAATGCCCCCAGCTGCCCCATCCTCCCCCGCTTCTCCTGCCTGGTTTAGATTATTTGGCTCATGCAGGGAAATCCCCTCGCTATGATTGCCAAAAATGATCCAGTTTTTAGAGGAAACGGCTCATCCTTGAACCCCTTTGACTAAAGGCCCTGAAGATGCTCTTGGATTGCAGCTTCACTGAGATGAGGGCGAGTCTGGAGCAGAGCCCTGGGGGCGGGGGCTGCATCAGGCCGTGACACCCAGAGTGGGGCCAGGACTCGAGCCCTCGTGTCCAGGAGGTCCCGTGGAGAGCCAGAACCCCCATCCCCTCCAGACAAATCAGCTTCAACCTTCTCTCGTTCGCACTGGAGGAGAGCAGAGCTCTCCTGCTCCTCGCGGGGTGTGTGATCAGCCCCCCCCCGCCAAGGGACGGCGCAGCCGGGCACCCTCAGTGCTTGACGATGGTGGGTGTGATCATCTTGGGGAAGGAGTAGTACCGGCAGTCCCGGGGGGCGACCAGCTCCATCACCGTTGTGCTGATGTTCTCCTCCTTGAACCCGGCCTCCACCAGCTGCCCCACCTGGGTCTCCTGCGGGAGGGAAGGAGCAGCGATGGCGGGAGAGCCCCGTCCTGGGCTGCCGTGGGCAAAACCCTCAGACCTTCCCTCCAACATCCCCCAGCTGTCACCGGGGAGATAAACGGCCGCAGAGCTCTGGCTCCTGCTGCTCCACGGCCGCAGTGTCAGATGCAAAGCACTGGGGGCTGCAGGGGGGTGCACGGGCTGATTGGGCAACTCTGGGGACCCCGGGTTGGGCTGAGGGTGCCAGGCCCTCGCCAGCCCGGGAACCGGTCAGTGCCCACCTCAAACATCTGCTCGATGTCGGTGTACTTGGTCTTCAGCAGCTCCCCCCAGGAGGTCAGGTTGCAGTAGGTGAGGACCCCCCCGGGCTGCAGCAAGCGGAAGGCGTGATCCTGCAATGGGAAGGGGCTCAGCACCCGGCCCCCCCCCGGCGCTCAGGAGCCCTGCAG